TGGGCAGCACGCCTCTTTCCAAGACTGAAGTTTGCCTCGTCTGGACACTTCAGTTCCGATGGTGTCTCTTTCTTGACCCCACACTTATTCCTGACAGTGGCAGGGGTGGGAGACTGCTCTTCACCTTGCATCCCCAGTCAGGAAAGTCTGATTGCGTTCTCCTCCTGTTTATTCAGTTTGGGATCCCCCACATTCAGACTGTGCTGCCTCTCCTCTCCAACCCTTACTGTAAGCACCTGCACGGGCACACCCAAAGATAGATTTCCATGGCGGTCCTAAATCCAGTCAGGTTGACAACGAAGCTTAGCTGTTAGCTTTTATCTTGTCTCCTCTGCCTGAGGGAGTCTTAGATGTGGTATATGCTCCTGTCCCAGAGTGGGTATGGGTGTGTTCATGCTTGCTTCTTTTCTTTATTGAAGTCTGAGTGTGGTGATCCCTCTACTTTGTCTTCACTCCCGATATTCTCTGTTCTGCTTGATCTAGTGATTCAATGCAATGTCTGATGCTCTCTGCTGGGTTTTTAATTTGGCAAATTGGGTTTTTCATTTCTGACATTTTGGGTTTTTTTTCCTCCCCCAAAATGGCAGCTTCTTTTCTGAGTTTCTCATCTTGCTTTATCTCCCACATCCTGCATTGATTTCCTTCCTTTGCTTATCTGCTTTTTCTGTGTTCTTCAAAATCACTGCCTGTTTCTCTTGTTAGCAGGTGGACTTTGAACCCTCCGTTCAGCCTTCATTGAGGGGTCTAACCTTGGAGGGTGCTCTGCTCTCCTTCCTGTGCTACTCGTGGTTTACACATTGTTGGTGGGAGTTCTGCTTTTATTCGGGGATCTTTGTGAACAGCCTTCTCTTAGGGATTTAATTCTCAGTCACACTGAGAGGAGAAAACAGCAACAACACCAGAGCAAACAAGAAATAAAAACATACCTAAGCCCCATTACGGCCATCTCCTGTGGCACTAGTGACACAGAAGAGGAAATAGGAAGAACACGATGCGGAGTGTGCTATGATGTTAACATTTGTCTAGACTAACAGTTCAGATAGTAGATGACTAGGGCAGGCAAGCAAGCCCTGACATCTCCGTGTCTAGGCTGTGCTCTCTAACCCTGCTCCTCACCGACTGCCCCGTGGGAGATGCACAGCTGTGCCAGGTACTACTGCTGGGAACTCTGGGCTCACTCCTGCTGGCCCTGAGCTACAGAGATCTGGTACCTACTCACCAATTGTCCACAGTCGTCTTCAGGTAATGGAGTCTGCTCCCATCCTCAGGAGGAGGAGGTGGAGCTCCGTCGACCAACCGTCCCCTGCCAAAGCCCAGCTTTCTAAGCCTGAACCTCTTAGCATCTACCTCAAGCCCCTTCCCGCACCTCAGCTGCATCCTCCCAGGGCTGCAGCATGTAGTCCCAGGCTACCACCTGCCTTGTGGTTATTCCTTGATTTTCAGGTCTCCGGAATAGCTCAGTCTGAGAACAATAGGCTGGCTCCCTTGCACACAGTCCTCAGAAATGGGGAGTGTTGGCCTGTCACACAGGAGGAGTCACCATCTGATAGATTTCCCCAGATGGACGGGTAGCTTTTGAGAGCTTCTTCACTGTGCGGCCTGACTGCCTTACCTTTTGGACTCCGCCTAAGTCTTGCTCCCCCTGCCCGAGAGCCACGGCTGAAGCCATGTGCTACCCATCTTGTTAGCTCCCTTGCCCTTCTTCACACTTCTCTGTGTCCTGTCACCTCCTTTGTGATTTGTGGTGCTTCTCATCTTTCTCTCTTTGGAATAGTCTGTGCTCTGTTGTCTGACTCCTAGCATCACCCAGAGGCAGCTTCCAATGGACCCCACCCCGAGTCTTCCTTTCATTCTCTCAACTGTTCTGTTTTTATAAAGTTACCTAGTCCCTATCAAACACTTTTTGCCTTCACCCAACAGAGTTTGGTCATTTTTATTTTTATTTCATTCATTTAAAAGTATTTTCGAACCTTACTAGGGGTTTCTTTGTATGCATATGTGTTTGTGTGTGATGCAAGGAATTGAGCCCTAGGCATCGTACATACAAGGCATGTGTTTCACTGTTGAGCTGCTCCTTCAACTCGTTACTCTTTCATTCATGTTAAGGCAAGGTCTCAGTCTGGTGCCAGGGTGGGTTTGAACTTGCAATAGTCTGCCCTTAGCCTTGCAAGGGGCTGGTGTTTCTGGCATGAACCAGCACCCCCAGCTCTGGTGACAGCTTCTTCCTTCAGACACCTGTATTCTAACTTGCCACAGTCTGCCTTAATTAGTGCTAAACACTTCACGAGAAAGACCCTTCTGCATGTGCTTCCAGTTTCCATACAGATTTCCTTTGCTTTTACGTCATGAAATCGGCCTGTAGTTCCTTGTTAGTGCTCTTAAATTCTGATTGTCCTTTAAAGAAAATTACAAAGAAAATATATATTTATTTACATTTTAATCATTTCCAGTGCATTTTATTTTTCTGCATGGATTGAGTTTCTTCAGTCTGAAGAAAAAAATTAATGCCCAATATCTCCTAGCATTCATATACCTGGAGAAGCCTTTATTTCAGACGTATTTGTGAGAGATGTTTTTGCTAGACATAGAACTCTAGTTTGTGACTTTCATGTCTAGTTTGTCTGTTTTTGTATGTGTGTGTGTTTAGGTGTGTTGTAGTGGGAGCAGCGGGCTGCGTTCCGCCTGGCTCCCAGCCGCCTGGCTAGCTTATGCCCCGAAATAATTACATGGAAACTGTATTCTTTTAAACGCTGCTTGGCCCATTAGCTCTAGCCTCTTACTGGCTAGCCCTCACATCTAGATTAACCCATTTCTAATAATATGTGTACCACCACAAGGTGGTAGCTTACAGGTAAGATCCTAACCTGTGTCTGCCTTGGAGAGGAGAATCATGGCTACTGCCTGACTCAGCTTCTTTCTCCCAGCATTCTGTTCTGTCTACTCTGCCTACCTAATTTTCTGTCCTATCAAAGGGCCGAGGCAGTCTCTTTATTTAACCAATGAAATTAACACAAAACAGAAGACTCTCCCCCATCAGTGTGTATGTGTGTTTAGGTGTGTATGTGTGTGTGTTAGGTGTATATGTGTGTGCTGTCGGAGCACACATGTGACGGCCCACTCTTCAGAAGTCCATTTTCTCCTCCTGCTGTTTGGAGGTGGGGTCTGCCTCTGTTTCTGCAGCTGAGCTGCAGACTCCACACTGACTGGCCTCTGAGCTTGCACACAACTCCCCTGCGTCTGCTGATAGATGCATGCCACCCTGCTCGGGTTCTTCTGTGGGTTCCAGGGACTGAACTCAGATCATCGGGCAGTAACAGTGAGTACTTTTACCCTCTGAGCCGTCTCTCTTGCCCTGTATGCTTATTTATTGGGAGTTGTTTTTGTTTGCTGGCTTGTTTTGAGCTAGTCTCTAAAGTGCAGACTGGCCTTTGACCTTGCTGTATTGCTTAGGCTGATTTCTGGCTCAGCATGATCCTCCTGCCTCGACTCTTGAGTACTATGGTTACAAAAGTATACCACAATGCCCAACTTTAGATTTTTAGCACATTAAAGATTTTTGTCCCAGTTGTCTTAAGCGTTCATGGTATCTAATGGCTGTTCTTATCTTCTTTCCCCTGTGTGTGCTATGTTTCTGCTTCTCAGGATGCTGGTAAGACTTTCTCTTTATTGTTAATTTTCAGCAACTTGATAATTGATGCACTGTTTACCATTCTAGAGGCTGTGGGACATGGGGGAACGGAGGCGAGAAATGAAGCTGACCAAAGTCTCATGCAATAGCCAGCTCTGTCTATGCCCTGAGGGTTAAGAAAAGTCACCTGAGTAAAGTTCTCATGAGTTCAAGCTGGGTATAATCCCAAGGAGGAGCCATATGTGGCAAAACCATGTTTTTCCATGGAGACAGATAAAGGCTAGTTTAAGCACTTAACTGACAGCAACAATCAATGGTGAGGAGTCTGGAGTAAACTCACTACCATCTGCTGCACCTGGGAGGAACACGAAACCGCCCAGGAACGTCTCTGTTTGGAAGAAACCGAGGGCACGGACTCCTGTCTTCTTGGAGTGTTCTCACGAGCACTCAGAATTCGCCTCGCACGCCTCCATTCCTGGGCCGTGTTCTGACAATGCCCCTCTGTCCAGTTTCCTACTTGTTGATTCGACTTTTTTATTTCTGGTGTTTGGGGTTTTTATTTTTTAATCTTTCAATATTTTAAATTATGCTTGGACTATTTTTAGCCTGCATTCTTCCAGGGGGCATTCTGTCCTACTCCTCTCTCTTCTCGGAGACGGCACTATTGGGCCATCGTCTCCGAGACCGCGTTTAGTGCCCACTTTCCATTTTGTTCTAATTAGCGGGCTTTCCTTTTAGAGCCATGTTTACGTTCACAGAAACCCGAGTAAGGTTCTTCTTTGCCCCTCAACGTTGGTCCTTATTACTAATGTGGTAATAAACGGTCCTGTGAAACAGGACCTCAGCGTTGGTCCTATTACTAATGTGGTAATAAACGGTCCTGTAAAACAGGACCTCAGCGTTGGTCCCTATTACTAATGTGGTAATAAACGGTCCTGTGAAACAGCCTGCGCATGTGTGGGGGTGACTTTCCTGTCATGTTTTGTCCCCAGCTGCTCTTCTCTGTTAGAGTCGGGGAGGCTGGTCTGTGAGCAGGCTTGGTCACCCGTGGCCACACCTCATGTCTTTGGTGTAAGTTTTGTGGGATCCCCTCCCCAGCACACTGTTGTATAAGGATGCAAAGAGGTTTATTCTTTCTGTGCGAATTCAGCGACATGTTTGTCACATATCACATTTGCTCCTTAAAAGGATTTGATTTTCTTGTTCTCTGCTTGGAAGTGCCTGACATATGTACCTGTGTGTACATGTTTCTAGCAGCTGATTATGTTATATTTTGATTTCTCAGAAATTATGTGACTCTTGATCCACTGGCATCACTTGCCAAACTAAGATTTCTTTCTTTCTTTTTTTTTTTTTTTTAAATCTTTTCCAGGCCCAGCTTCAAAGGGAAAAAGAACAAGATCAGATGAAGCTGTACGCTAAACTTGAAAAGCTCACTGTCTTAGAGAAAGAGTGTTTTAGATTGACAGCCACGCAGCAGGCTGCTGAGGTAAGCTTCTGCTTGTCTCAGAGCTGATGGCGCCAGGAGGGATGCCAAGCTGGCACTGTATGGGAGTGAGCAGCCAAAGGGTTAGAGCCCTTCATGTACAGCATTCAGTAATCCGGGTAATTCCTGCCTGGGGAGAAAGCGTGTTCTGTCCTGGCATGAGGGAGCTTGCCTGCTGATAGCACAGAGGTGCCTGACTGAGACAGCAGGACGTTTTCAGTTCAGGTGTCTGACCTGAAGGGTGTTAGGTGGCCTTTAGTGCCTGTCCTACACCCCTGCTCCTCCTCCCGCCAAGTCCTTGTCATTTCACAGAACTGCTCTAGAACCTCTTTGTAGCCCCTCTTAAGAGCTGCAATACTCAGAAGTCTCTCCCCTTGACAGTTCTGTCATGGTTCTTGTTCCGAACCACGCACATGTAAAAGGTGTAATGTATGTGAGGTATGGAGTGTGCGGAGAGCCTTTCAAATTGTCCTCGTTGCTTTACCATTTCATGTGTGATACTCTTTTAACATTAGTTATGCTATGTGTATGTGAATGATGGGGTGGGGTGCATGCATGCCATGACATATGTGTGGAGGGCAGAGGACAGCTTTGTGCAGTTGCTCCTCTCCTTCTACTTCTCTGTGGTTCCAGGGATCAAACTCAAGTGATCAGACTGGCATGGCAGGAGTCCTTGTTTGACAGAGCACAGCACTAAGCTCTTAAATAACCAGGGCCAGGACTCACATTTCTCAGGTGTCTTCCCGCCCTGCTCCCAGCATTAGCCCCCATCACATGCACATGGCTGACATTGCTATTGGTGGTTTGGTTTGGTTTGGTTTGGGGGGGGGTTTTGTTTTTGGTTTTTTGGGTTTTTTTGTTTTGGTTTAGGTTTTTTTGCTTTGGTTTTTTTTTTTTTTTGTGTTGAGATCCAAGACCATAATAGCTTTAAAAGCTATAGCATTCTCGGAAACTTCGTCATGGATCTGGAGGTAGCCGAGAATAAAACTTGTGGGTTTATTCTCTGTGGGTCTGGTGGTGGCCACAAATAAAGCTGTGGGTTTTTTCTCTTTCATTTTGCCCTGATGTGCAATAGTAAGGAAGGAAGCATAGGTAGACAGCCAAGAGAAATCTTGGCATCTTTTGCCATTTCTTTTTCTTACTTTCTATTCTAACTTGCTAGCTTTTAAAAATCTAGACCCCCTAGGACCATCTTGGAAAGGACGTTTGGCTCTGATTTTCATATATGTTCATTATTGCAGGAAAAGATAAACTATCTAGAGGAAAAACTAAAGGAAGAGGAGCATCAGCGCAAGCTGTTTCAAGATAGAGCGAGTGAGGTGGGTAGCATTCTGTAGCCTATCACAGTGACTGATGTCTTTGAGTACTTCATCCTCGTGAGCTGCACCCTAGTCTACACTCAGTTTGGGTGTTGTACATTGTTACGGCACTCTGTTTTGCTGTAGTAGCAAAATTCTCACTTAGCCTGTACATCCATATTCTCAGATATATTGCTAAAGACCTTGCACATGCTATATATATTCTTAGTTGAGGTAACTGACTCCTGGCATATATTAGTTTCATCTTGAGATATACACATGAGCATACACCACACACACACACACAAGTGCCCTAATTTATTCTGTTATAAACAGAAAAAAAGTCATAATTGCAAAACTGATGTATTACTGGAGTATTCTTTTTCAAAGGTTTTTGGGTTTGGGACTTTATTTTTATTGTTTTGTTTTTTTTAACATTGAGTCTCACTGCACTGCCCAGGCTGGCCCTGAACTCCTAAGCTCATGCAACCCTGCTTCAGCTCCATCCAAGTTACTGCAACTAAGCCCTGCTTTACTTTAAAACATATTTTATACTTGAAAGCTGAGATCTCAACTTTCGTTATGTATAAAGAAGCCTGTTACAGATCAGTCTTATAAATTATTTCTTTAATTTTATAGCTTCAAACTGGACTGGAAATCAGCAGACTTTTAATGCCAGTTTCACAATCACAGCACTGTAAGGGAAAGAAGAAGCCACCAAAGGTATGTATATTCAGCTTTCCCCAGACATTACTTCTTAACTTTATGATAGACATTTATTCATCCTTTAGTCTTTTCTGCTTCTTTATGGCCGGACAGTGGTGGTGCACAGCTTTAATCCCAGCACTCAGGAGGCAGAGGCAGGCAGATCTCTGTGAGTTCAGAGTCAGCCTGGTCTATAAGAGCTAGTTCTGGGACAGGTTTTAAAACTACAATGAAACCCTGTCTCGAAAAACCAAAAAAAAAAAAAAAAAAAAGATATTTATGATAGAATACATTTTCTTACTGTTCTATTGCGGTAAAGAGACACCATGACCAAGGCAGCTCTTATGAAAGAAAACATTTAGTTGGGGTTGCTTACAGTTTCAGGGGTTTAGTCCATTATCATCATGGTGAGAAGCAGACAGTCAGGCACTAGAGCAACAGCTGAGCGCTTTTACATCCTGATCCAGAGGTACCAGACAGAGAGAGAGAAACTGGGTCTGATGTGCTTCTGTGTTCCAAAAAAAAAAAAAAAAAAAAAAAAAAAAAAAAAAAAAAAAAATCCTAAATGCAGCTTTATATAAATACATATACAGTAAAAAGAAAGATTTTTCAATTTTATTTACTAGTATTTGAGACAGGGTTACACCCAATAACCCATTTTGGTTTCAGACTTGCCACCTAGCCTGGGCTGACCTTGACTTCAGTCCTCCTGCCCCTGAGTAGGTGGGATTACAGCCTTGTACTGCCACACCTGGCTATCTGGCTGTGTTTTGTTATACATTTATTTAGTATGTGTATATGTGATGTGTATACATGCATACACACACACACACACACGCACACACGCACGCACGCACGCAACCATGGCATGCATGTGGAGGTCAGAGGACAACTTGCAGGGCATGTTCTACCTTTTGGGTTCCAGGGATTAGACTCAGGTTGCCAAGGCTTTTACAAGGGTCTTTACGAATTCAGCCATTTCATTGGACCCTTAATAGTTTTAAAAAGAACTTTATAACTATATTCGAAATTGGGGAAATGGCTCAGTGACAGTTAAATGTTTGCTGAACAAGCATGAGGGATGCCTGTGGGGCATGACAGCCTCCCTGGTAATTAGATCCTGGAAAGGTAGAAACAAGGAAATCCTTGATCAAGTTGGCTAGAGAAATTAACCATATCAATGAGCTCTGGGTTTGGTTGAAGGACCTTGCCTTCAACAAATGTGGTGGAAAGACAATCTAGGGTGATTCTATCATCAACCTTGGGCTTCCACATGTATGCACATACATGTGCACATGCACTCCACACATTTGCACAAAGATACAAACAAAAAAATGGAAAAATAATTTTATAGCTATAATAATAAAAACCACTTTTTGCTTATTTCCTTAATCTCTTTTTATGTCTTATTTGAGTAATGAGATTTGAACTGGAAACCCAAATAGAAAAGCACTATAAATAATTTGCAAATGGAACAATGACTGTTATTAAATATTTGTTTAATGCTATCTTTTATCTGATAAGATAGAAGTTTAACTTTACATATTTATTGCAGAAACTATGAGACGATAAAAGGAATATAAGAAAGAAAATATAACTTCTGAAAGAGTAGAGGGTAATTAGGAGCAAACTCAGTTAGTAAAAGTGCTGTTTCCCAGGGTGAAAAGGCGCTCTGACATCACCGGAGATAGGCTCAGAGTGCAGTGCTCCCATTTATCTCTAATACCGTGTCTCCATGTCTCCGGTTGAGTATCAGCTCATAGGTTTTGTTGTTTAGACCACTGTCTCTAAGAGACAGAGACAGATAAACCCAGCATGACAGTACATGCTTAGAGTGTCAGCTGGGGCTGAGGCAGGGAGTCTGGGAGTTCAAGGACAAGCAGGGATATATTGAGACAGGGGAGTGATGCAAAGCCGCCACACTACACTCACCCCGGGATCCTAAAGAATGACACCCTGCAGAGAGGAGAAGTGTGTTAAAATATAATCCTACTGGGGACAGAGATGTATAATCTCAAGGCCATCCTGGCCTAACAAGACACTGTCTCCAAAAAGGGGAAAATAGCAACAACAACAGCAACAACTAACTTTTAAAGTTGGGTGTAGTGATGAACATTTATAATTCCTATACTCAGAAGGCCAAGACAGGAGGGCCCTGTGTTTAAAACCACCCTGAAGTACATAGTAGGTTCCTGGCTAGCCTGGCAAACAGTGAGACTCCTGTCTGAAAACGGGTGGTAGTGTTGAATTTGAACTCTTACTATAAGTAGTTGGCACCCATTGAAGGCTTTTTAGGAACAGTAGAGACAGAGGTATAATGGTGACTGAGAGGCCTGAGAGACATACGTAGATTTGTTACCTGTGTGGCTTCATGTAGCCATCACAACAATCAAGATACTGTACACCCACTCTAAGGTTCTTCCAGAAAGTTCTTTTAGACCCACACCATCCCCCAGCCCCAACAAGTGTTATTCTGTTCGCCTCCTCTGTAGTTTTCTTATTTCAAGAATCCTGTATGGTCAGGCACTGCGGAACATGCCGGCAATCTAAGTTGTGAGGCGGCTGAGGCAGTGGGATTGCCATGATTTGAGACCATCCTCCATTGCATAGTGAGGCTGTATCCCAATGAGAAAAAGGTCAAGTAGAGTTATATGGTGTGAGCATTTGGGGCTGCCTTTTCCCTGGACTTCCATCTGAGTGGTTATCTATTCTCTTTGCCTTTTTACACTGATCCACATTAAGGATCTACTACACCTTATCAGTCCCTGTTTAAGGACATTTGCGTTGTTGCTACTTTCCAGCTATTGCAGTAAAGATATTTTATGCATGTGTTGATTGATGGTTTTGTGCGTGTGTGTGCGTGTGTGTGTGTGTGAACATCAATTTTAATCTTTCTAGAATAATTGCTCAAGAGTGCAATTGTTAGGACATATGATAAATACATGTTTGACTCTATAAAAAACTGCCGACTTGTCACCCACAGTGGCCTTACCAATGTGCAAGTGATGCAGTTTCTCTGAATTCTTGACAATATTTGATGTCATCACTTTTTTTTATTTTGCCCATGTTAATAGGCATGTGGTAATGTTTTCTTTTTTATTATTAACTTTTTTATTTTGGCTATTTTTTTTCTTGGATTTTCGAGACAGGGTTTCTCCGTAGCTTTTTGGTTCCTGTCCTGGAACTAGCTCTTATAGACCAGGCTGGCCTCGAACTCACAGAGATCCGCCTGCCTCTACCTCCTGAGTGCTGGGATTAAAGGCGTGCGCCACCACCGCCCAGCTATTTTGGCTATTTTATATTAATCTGAATAGGTTGTTAACCACCTCTTTATGTGTCTGCCTTTTGTCTTCTAGTCAAATGTCTATTCATGTCTGCTCCTACATCCAAATTGCACTACTTGCTGTTGAGTTTTGAGAATTTTTCATATCATATATATATATATATATATATATATATATATTAAAATAGTACTTTGCTTCCTCTTTCCCTTGCTAACCTTCAGAAAACGAAGTGTTTAAAGAGGGAATCCCCTCAGCAAATGGACCCGAAGTGTAGAGCTCAGTCTTTGGAGAGGGAGAAGGTAAGAGGACAGAAATGAGGACTGTGGCCTTGGTTTGCTGATGCTCTTCATACACGGTTCTAGTTAGCTCGCTCTCGCTGTGACAGATGCCATGACCAGAGGCATCGTGGGGAGGAAAGGGTTTGTTTCGGTTCACCATCCTCTATGAAGGGAGGTTGGGACAAGAGCCTGGAGGCAAGAACTGAAGCAGAGATTGTGGAGGAACAATTCCTACGAGCATGCTCTCCAGGCCTTGCTCATTTTATCACCTGCCCGGGGTGGCTCTGCCCTGGAGAACTGGGCCCACATACATCAATCTCTAATCAGGAAAACACTCCACAGACTTGCCTGTAGGCCAGAGGATGGCAGCATTTTCTCAGCTGGGTTCCCTCTTTCCAGACAGCTAAGCTTGTGTCAGGCTGACGAGATCTAACCGGCACACACACCGTTGAGCACTAGTCTGTTCACAGCTGTGTCTTCCCCTTCATGTTGTCCAGCGCAGGCTGTTCCTTTAATGCAAGCTTGTAAACTTCTGCAGATGATAGGTGCCTATGGGCTCCGTAGCCTTCAGAGACCTGCTCCCGTCACTGAGCTGCAGTGTCGCTACAAGCCTCTCAGAACAACTTCCCAGGCCAAAGCTGTGCCCCCTAATCCAGGAGAGCCTGTTCCTGTCTGTGACAGTTTGTCTGATCTTCTGATGGCCATGCAAGAGGAGCTGGAGCAAATGACTGTGTAAGTGTTTGTTCTTTATTAAATAACCGTACTGTTTGGATACATTTTTTATCGACTCTTTTAAGAACAGTATCAACTATCCATTCATTAAGATTTATTTTTATTCACGTGAATGGGTGTGTGCACATGGTGCAGGTGCTCTCAGATCGCAGAGAAGGAGCTGGCTTCTCGGTAGCCAGAGTGACAGAGGGCTGCACCCGACTCGGGTCCTCTGCAAGGCCAGCACACATTCTCAACTCTTTAGTGGTCTCTGTCGCTCCCACCTGTAAATTCTCGGTGGCTATTTGGACTTACATTGTTTTGATCCACGAATTTATTGATAATATTTTCATTGTTCCTACTGTGGCATTTAACCTTTTAACTATGTCTAATTACTACTTTCCTGTATTCCATAGATTTACACTGATATACAGATATTATGAATGACATATATTGAGTCTGAAGACTTTAGATTAGAGCTCAGAAGAGCTTTTAGAAGGAATATGCTTTTCTTTTGAAATCTTTTAGTAATGTGGGTGATTTCACTAGGCAGGTAAGAATACCATTCCTTTTAGATTCTGCCTGGTCCGTATCACAGATTGGGAAGCTTTCTCAGTAAGGAGGATCTGCACAGGGTTATTGTATTATAGCCCATGCTTAAATCCCTTTCAGCATATACATCAGGACTGCGTGACTAGCTAGCGGACTCGCTGAACTCAGGAACTGCCACTGCACACATAACTCTTCTCTTGACAGTATCTCCAATCCCAGACATGGAACTGAAGAGAACCGTGTGTTGCCCCTGGCCAAACCCTGTAGAACCGTTCATTCTTTTTAGCTGAGAACACCAGGAATTTAGATTGGTTTTTAGATTATTTAACAGCTAGATACTGAGGTAGTTCTAAATCCAAATTTTTTATCGTGATTTAGTTATATATCCTAATGCTAGTGACTATTTTTGAAGATTAATATTTTACTCTTAACTGTAACTCCAGTTGAAGAAAAAAATTAGTTGTGACAAACTATAACTGTATGTAATGTCTGCTCTGTTTTTAATCATGCAAAAATGATTCATGTGTCATGTCAGACAATACTACTTTTGTGGATTTATTTATTTATTTATATTGCTAAGTATTGAACACCGGATCTGACTTGCAGAGAAACACTCTCTGGCTGAATTGCTCCCCAGCCTGATGTTTGCTTTTCTCTACAGGGAGCACAGAGAACTAATGAGACAAACTAGAAGCCATTCAGTCTCTGATGACATCGAGCACGAGCTGGAGCAATTAGTCAAGAAGATGGAGAGCAAAGAAGACCAGATTTCCAAACTCAAGAAGCATCAAGACAGTGTAAGAACACTACTTTCACACACACACACACACACACACACACACACACACACACACACCTCTTCTGAGAACTGCTGGTCTTCAGAACACAAAAACAATTGCCATACAATGTTTGAAAAGGAAAAAAGAAAACAAAGAAGTACTAGAAATATATGTATAGTTGGGATTTTCTGAGCTACCAACCAGCTCCCCAACAAAGATAGGGAGACTTACTATTAATTGTGAATGCTTGGCTTTAGCTGAGCTTTGACCCACTAGCTCTTTTAAGGCGATTTAACCTGATTCTCTTTACCTCTGCTTTGCCTTGGCCTTCTTACCTTTTCTTCATTCTCTATGTCCTACTCTTCTGCTTCCTCTGTGCATGTCTGTTTGGCCCCTGGCATCTCTTTATCTTTATTCTCTGAGCCTAAATGTCTCCTCCTACTTACTCTCCCTCCTCCCTCACTATTGGGCATTCATCTTTTTATTAGACCAATCAGGCGCCTTGGGCAGGCAAGGTTAAATAGCAACACATCTTTACATAGTTAAACAGATATTCTGCAACATAAACAAATGCAACATATCTTTGCATAGTTAAACAAATATTCTGGCACATAGATGTGGATTCAGTGTCACATGGCTTTCCAGTTGGAAGTTTGTGGTATGGTGTGCTAAAAGATACACAGAAGACACTTGGTCTTCTTACAGAGAGCCACCACTGCAGGTAACACCATGTGTCTCCTATACAGTTCTTTAAGGTAAGAACGAGAGCAGAAGAGTTCCTGTGGAGTCAGGCCCTGGGAAATGTGTAGTAGGCTATTGCCTTGGTAGCCTCCAGATACCCTTCCAGCATTCTTGCCTCCTCTCTTCCCTCCACTGCTTCAGTGATGTCCTCTGTGCCACAGTCCTGAAACCATTCCCGCCCTCTGTGTTTAGCTGGGCTGTATTGTATTCCCTGGAAACCTATGCTTAGCCACCTGTGGTTTGTAGAATTCAGGTATGGAGGATTCTGTACCTGTGTTTTAGTGACCTTCAATATTTGAGCAGAAGAATCATGAGTATAATATTTAACTCTAAGACAATGACTGCACCCATAGATGAACTTAGAACACTGTGACATTGCTGAAGCAAAAGAGAGTTTCTCTCTCTCTCTCTCTCTCTCTCTCTCTCTCTCTCTCTCAAACACACACACACACACACTCACATTCCTATAAGAGGGAAGGGTCAGCATTCAGACAAGCTGCTGGTATATCAAGCCTCCACATGCACACACTTTTATAAGACTGATTTGTACAGCTCCGAATACTACTGTATTTGTTATGCTTATGGCCAAGAAAGAAAAATGTATTTTCATTTTACTGGCTTTAAAGACTATAGCAAGTAAAAAAAAATTATGATTGTGTTGGGGCAGAGATTGTACAACCTGTGCCCTTTCTGGGAATTGCACAGAAGAAACTTTAGACCGAAGAATAATCACAATTTCAAAGTTACCCAATCTATATATTTTATAATTTGAATAAGCAGTCAAGCCTTCTATTGTGATAAATTTAACCTTGAACTCAAAATTGCCTCCTAGGCAAATAAACACTTGTTCTTATCACCAGTTCTTTACTTTGCTGTTAGCGTCACCTAAAACATCCCACTCTCATGGAGCTCTGTTCCGACCAGTACCTCTGGCTCAACTTCCTGTCCACACCGTCTTCCCTGCTCTGCCCTTCTCAGACGCATGCTCTTCTCTTCAGAGTCATCCCAGCTCGAGTACTCTCTGTCAGGTCCGTGTGCTTCTGCTCACTAACTGGAGAGCGAGCGCCTGAAGTCACGGTTGCTCCATGTGTCAGCCATGGACCAGGTGGTCAGTGAGTGACTTGCTGAATTGAACCTTTGGACATAATCTTTAAGGCACCAACCTAGTCCTCTATTTCGGGGCATATTTATAAATTAATTTTTATCTTAAACATTAGATTTTCTTTTCTCTACAGGTCCGTAAACTGCAGCAAAAAGTTCAGAACTCAAGGATAAATGAACCCTCGGGTATCCATCGGGAAGACGGCAACCCTAAAGGACTAAAGAACGTGAAAAATAGCCCTAGGAAATGTTGGGATGAAACCAACCCTTTCCAGAAACACAGCACCTGCCATCCAGCCCACGTCCACAATGTGCAGGTGAAGCTGCGGAAGGACGACATCAGGTGGGAGCAGTGAGCACAGTGAGCAGAGAGCTTGCCTGTCTACGTGGTTTTCATTTAATATACTTTGGGGAACTTTTCAATTATGTTTCTGGCTTCTATAAAATGTGAAGTTGTATATTTTCAGAATAATGGCTAGTGACCTACCAAGAATCCCAGAATAATAAATGGCTAATTTTTGTTGTTGCTATTAACCAGAGGCCCCGCCCTTCTCACCCTGCAGAGGCTGTCATCTCGCAGCTCCCTTGAGGTAAACCTAACAAGGGACCGAATGGAGTCTCACTTAAGTCGAGCAGCACCTGAGCTCCGAGGGCAAGTCCACAATTCCCCTTAGTAGGCTGTCACCTGCAGAGCAACACGGGGTGGACAGACTCCTTTAACTTCCCTGCCATTGCCACCTTACCTTGTTTTAGATCTCAGCAGTGTTCCTGTTTGTTTGGTTTGGAAAGGGGAAAGCACAATAATTCTGCAGTTTTTGAAAATACCTTTAGCTCAGCTTTCCTGTGACAGCTGCGGAAAGGGTTGCGTAATTAATTAATTTTCAACGACGTTAATTCAGCTTTCTTCCTCTGCTGTCCCATGCTCTTTTCACCCTGCTGCTTCTGCACACCAGTAACTGATCTCCTTTCACCCTTTCATAACTGTTTCTGGTTTCTCGTTTGCTTTGTATGTGCTTCTCATCAGTACATGCCAGTGTGGGTGTCTGGGACCCAAGAGGATAATGGGATTTTCCAAGAACTTAGGCATTTCATTTTCTTTATGCACAAGAGAAAGTGAATTGGGTGAATGTGGTGTCCCTTTTTATACTTTAGAATCAGTGCTGTCACAATGGATTTCTTTGTTGTATACATGTTTTATAATAAATTTACACTTTGTCTTCCTAGAAGCCTGTGGAAATTAGTACATATCTTTGGAACACTTACCTTTTTATTTTCTGGGACAACTAGAACACTGATGTCATCAACTGCAATGGAAATAGAAACTATACAAAAAGCTGTACGAAAGGGAAAAGCTTGAACTTAGGGAGGAAGGGTAAGGAAAGGGCCCATTCCAAAGGGTCTGTTGGAACGCGTATTTTCCTGAATTCTGGTGGATGGGGAGTGCGCAGTCTGAGGGTGCGAACCCTGTTGAACAGGAGCCCAATGAGCTGCTTCAAAATAAAAGTAAAGAAGCAATTGTTTTCTTTCTTTGTTTTTTTTTTAATTTTGTTTGTTTGTTTTTCTAGCACAGAGTCCCTCTGCACAGCCCTGGCTGTCCTGGAACTCACTTTGTAGACCAGCCTAGACTCGAACTCACAGAGATCTGCCTGCCTCTACCTCCCAAATGCTGGGCTGGGATTAAAGGCCTGTACCACCACCACCTGGCTTTCATTTTTTGAGACAATAGACCAGGCTGGCCCCGAACTCACTGTGTAGTTATTGGTCTTGAACTGGTCCTCCTGTCTACACCTCCCATGTTACCGTCATGTACAGTCAGCCATGCCTAGCCATAAAAGGCAATTTCTTTATTTTACGTGTACATTGAGACAGGGTCTCAATAGGTAGCCCTGTATGGCCTGGAACTCACAGACATCTGCCTGCCTCTGCCTCCCGACAGCTGGACTTAACGGTGTGCACCACCACGCCCTGCCTGAAAAAAGCAACATTTAGGGGCAATCTGTTCTCACAGGAAGAAGCAAAAGGTGCATGTAATAAAAATAAGGGTCACTCTGGCCTCCCAGGGAACAAGACAGCTGTGAGAAGGGCCAGGTTAGAAGATGCATCCCGCTCTGGGAGCTGTGTTTCAGAATCTCTCTATCTCTGGTTTAAGCAGTGCACCTGCTGTGACCTGTCAGCCTCTCGGCCCTGGAAATGGCTGCCGTGGGCTCTCCCCAACATCCATCCTCTTACCTCAGCATTCCACCTTTCCTCCTCGAGAACGGGGCTCTGTTGCTTAAAATTAGAAAGAAGGAAAAGGAAAAAACAAAAACAAAAAACCAACTAGGCCATAACACAGCCTTAGTCTCTGTGCACTCAGGAAAGGGCTGAGCATCCTTCATTTACGAGTAAAATCATTTTGTGTGGAAACATAGGATTTTGACTCAGTGGTAAAGAGTTTGACCTGGACGAAACTCCCAGCATGGAATAAAAAAACTATATTGCTAAACCAAATTACCATACAAAAATTTTAGTCAGTACTTGGCTATTTCAATTAAGAATTGAGAATTGTCTCATAAAAGTATAATGTGGTAGAAAAACACTTTTCTCAGAGTGAAAAGAGTTGGTTCAAAACCAGTCTCCTCTGCTGAAATCTTCACAAGCCAAGGATTCTGGAGCACTTCGGTTTTGCTATGAGTGGGGCCCTGTAGTGAGAGCTGGAGCACTTAGGTTTCACTATGAGTGAGGCCCTGTAGTGAGAGCTGCGGGCTGGCCTGCTTTTCGCCCTGCTGGGCTCCCACACGGCAAGCTTTACACCCGAAATAATTACACGGAAACTGTATTCTTTTAAACACTGCCTGGCCCATTATATCTGTCCTCTTCTTGGCTAACTCTCATATCTTGATTAACCCATTTCTAATAATCTGTGTAGCACCACGAGGTGGTGGCTTACCGGGAAAGATTCAGCATGCCTGACCTGGCGGCTGGCTCCATTGCATCTGACCCAGAGAGCAGCGGCATGGCGATTGCCTAACTTCCCTTCTTCCCAGCATTCTGTTCTGTTTACTCCACCTACCTATATTCTGACCTATCAGGCCAAGCAGTTTCTTTATTAATTAACCAATGAAAGCAACAGATAGACAAATGACCTTCCCACATCAGGGCCCTACCCAGCCTGCCTCGGGATGCTGTGAGGAGCACAGCACCCAGCCGAGGAGTGGCATTTAAGGAAAACTCTGAATCTGCAGTTTTCAACCTGTGGGTCGTGACCCCTTTGGGGAGGTCAAATAACCCTTCCCCAGAGGTCACCTAAGACATTGGAAAACGCAGATATTTACATTATGATTCATACCAGTAGCAAAATTACAGTTCTGAGGAAGCAATGAAAGTAATGTTATGGTTGGGTCAGCACAGCGTGAGGAGCTGGGTTAAACGGTCGCAGTGTTAGGAAGGTTGAGGACCGCTGCTCTAAATGCTTTTGAGTCTAAGCAGAAAAGAGAAGGTAAAACACAGGTTTACGTGGCTTGACGTCTAAAAGCAAAGCTGAGGCTATGTCCTTAGGAACTGAGTTGGAGTGTTCTTTCTTCTCTGTGGAAGTGGCCAGCTTGCTTCCTGGCCTGGGGTCTTGAAGGAGAAAGCAAAGCATAAGGTATGACATCGTGCAGGAACAACACAATCAGCTGCAGGTTTCTCTGGAGTTTGTTTTGGTTGGTGAGGTGACATTTAATTACTAGGAAACGGTAGAGAATGGTTTTGTCGCTCCACCATGGCTACCTGCCTGCCAAGGCTACTGACCCTGGTGGGAGGAGCCAAAGCTCTCTTTCCTGGATGAGACTTTCTCTGGAGTGCTGGTGTTGCTGGGGCAACTTCTTGCTGAAACATGGAGTGATTTCATTAATTTTTTTTTCACTGAGAAACAGTTGCTTGGGTTCTGTTTAATTAGAAATTGAAAACAAGATAGAAGTGGAGCTGCAAGCGAGGACTCTACTCTCCTGGGCCTGGGAAGCCAGACCTCCAGCGTTGGAGCTGCGGGTGTTGTGAGTCTCCTAATACTGGAGGGAGCTGGGATCTAGAGTGCACTGCACAGGAGTGGGTCACTGGCAAGGTGACAGTCTCTCCTTGTTAGACCGGAGGGTAAAGTGAGGACACTTAGCACAGCTGGTTGTCTGGAGTGGTGTCCTTGAAAAGTCATTTGGGGGTTCCAGGATGGGGATGGAACACGGCGCCTCATGCATGATTGTGCTCAGCCCCTGGCCCACAGCCCCAGCTCTGAAAATTATTTTGAAGATTTTGTTGTAGCCCTTTTACTTTAAAAGTAGAGTTGTTGTTTTTTTTTTTTTTTAACTATAACATAGGTTTTATTTTGTTTTGTTTGAGTCAGGGTCTTGATGTTTGGTCCAAGCTGACCTTGAACTCATGATGCTCCTACCTCAGCTTCCTAAGTCCTGTGATTAAAAGTGTGTGCCACCATGGCCAATTTATAAATTAGTGTTTTTAAGCCATAACGACCTATACAAAAATTAAATACAAATTTGATTTTTCAAAAAGATTAGTATTTACATTATGTATATGTGGATGCTGTTTATGGGTAAATGCATGAGTTCAAGTGCCCATGTAGGCCCAAGAGTCATCTCTTGGAGCTGGAGGTACAGGTTGATGTAGATGTTGGGGACCTCTGAAAGAGCGATACAAGCTCTTTACCCACTGAGCCATCTCTGCTGCCCCCTATTTACCTGGCTAATTAGTTCTGTACAACAAAGATCCATGGACTAGCTGATCCGTAGGCTGTCAGGCTGTCAGATCCATGGACTAGCTGATCCGTGGGCTGTCACATCCGTGGGCTGGTGTTCTTGGTGTGGAGTGAATATAATTCCTAGGTGTTTACAAACTTCTCTGTGCATAGGTAATAATCAGTGCTCCAGTGCTGATTGATCATTTGGTCCACCACACTTAGTGTTTCTTGTACCAAGCGGGAATTCAGTGAGTTGTATGAATAAGAAGCCCACACCCAATAAAAATGAAATCTAACTCTGTGGAAAGAAACTTTAGGCCAGATTGTTTTATTGTTTCTCTAGACTGTGCTCTTGCCTCCATGTCTGTGGAGCTGGGGCTGTAGGCGTGCACACAGAGTCGGCCGAAGCGGGTTTCTTGACCATAGACTAGACTTCTTTGGATTTGCTTGTCTAACTTTTCCTCATTCTTCAGGTCTAGTTTACCCTCTAGAAGCCTTCCTTATTCTCACCTCATCCCACTACCTCCCAAATCTGGTCCAGCTGTCTCTTCTGAGTATTTCCCCTACCTTTGTACCCAGCAGACTTTCATGTTTTGTTGTGTTCGTATGTGATTTTTGAGACAAGATCTCATGGAGCCCAGGCTAACCTTGAACTCATTGAGTAGATTGTTTTTGTCTTTCCCATAGGCTGAGAACTCAGAGGGCAAGGTTCTTTCTGCTTACCCTGTAGCATCCAGCACAGTGCTTGGTCTCACTAAATGCTTGTTTGATAATTTGTTACATAAAAATTGTAGGAGGCTATCACCCTGGGCTGAGCTCCTGCCCGGGGTCCCAGCAGACCAGGCTAAAAGTTACTCCAGCCAGAGGCAACAAATCCAGACTAAGTTATTTGGCCTTTCAGAAATAAGAGGTAATAATAAGAGATAATTCCCCCCAATAGGCCAATTTTAATAGGCCTAATAATGAGGTTTCCTCTGCTTTAATCTTTACAGAAGCAAATTACTTGAAATAACCTAAGGTATTTTGTCTCTATCATACAGAGAAAGTTGGGGGGTTGTCGTTTGTTTAATTTTATGGGTATGGGTGTCTTGACTGCATGTATTGTCTGTGCACTATGTAAGTGCAGTGTCTGCAGGGCCCAGAGGAGGACATTGGATCCTCTGGAGCTGAAGTTAAACAGTCATGAACTGACATGCAGGTGCTGAGAACTAAATCGGTGTCCTCTGGAAAAGCGGCCAGTGCCCTTAACCACTGAGCCCTCTCTCCAGCCCCCAGGTTTTTGTTTGTTTTTATGATTCTGGGAACTGAACTCCGGGCCGCACACATCCAGGCGAGCACTGTGCTATGGAGATGCACTCCCACCCGCTTCAAGGGAATTCACTTTGAAATAACAAATACACTTTTAGTTCTCTGTGCTTTTTGCCGCCCTTCTCTGACTATAGAACTGACTTCACTCTGCAGCCCACTGGAGCACCTATTTATGCAGTGTGATTCGAGAATCACAAAGCCAGTTAAGATCTTGAACGTGTGCCAGCCTTATTAGTGGTCTTATCTGAGTGCTGGGCTGGGCACTGTGGCTTCAGGCACCAGGTCAGCTATTCTGCTCAAGTGCTTTCAAGAACTTGAGACCTATTTCACACCCACCGGGAAAGAAGAGCCCTGCATTGTTTGCTTGGGGCAGGGCTGGAATGGCTTTCACAGCCAATGTCCCTTGGAAGGATGCTTCCTCTAATGCCACGATGCCACTACGAAGATGAGACTTAAGAGCCAAGGGTTCGCTCATTGGATCTTGCTCTGTTTGACTTGTTCATTTAATGAGTATTATCCTCTGATAAACACCTATTTATGTCAAGGGATTAGAGGCAATGGGAGATTCTAGAACAGCAGTTATGACAGGTGAGATAAGGGACAATGTGAATATAATAAAGAGAAGGGAACAGTCGATGGCATAGGTAAATGACCAGTCTAGATACTCCAACAAGTACGTGCCTGCTCCACCTTTGTTCTTTTTCCTGGGGACAGATGCTCTGGGCTTGACCCATTGTGGTTTCTTCATTCTCCATCTTGCTTGATATCATTTTCACCTTCTTCCTGGTAGCAGCTTGCATTTGCCTCTTCCTGGTCTTGTTGATTGATGGTCTGGGTTTGTTAACGGGTGGTCCCGGCTTGTTTAGGGTTTCAAACCCATGGCCACAGCCAGTCCTTTAGCAGTATCCTATTCAATGGCAGGACCAGCTATTGAGGTACAAAACACTAAAGAGAGTGTGTTGGGGAGAGAGGTAAACATTCATGACTTAGATAAAAACTAAGAAGTAATATATACTTAGAAAACGTGTGCTCCAAAGGCCGTGTGCGTACTGGCTTGCACACAATTATGCAAATAGTTGACAACTTTTCTTGTGAATATGAACCTCACCTTTTGACTTCACTGATTGGTTCGGGCCTGTTTTGAAAATTACACGGTCATATCTTGCCGGTGGGTTAGCAACGTAGTTAGTCACAACCGGCCCATCATATGCTACAGACATCAGTGGTGCCACAGTGCTTCAGGCATGGTGAAGGCGGATAAGGTTCTTAAAACGCTGTAAATAGCAGTATAGTTTTATTTTTAATTTTCTCACAGTGGTGCAGACCAAATCTTGGGCCTTGGGCATGCTAACCAGGCTGTATCCTTGAGCTATATAAATGTAGCCCAGAATATCTGGATATCTTCATAAACATTTAGAGAGAATGTGTTTGAAAGCCGTTGTGGAGAATGTGGGTGGGCCAGTTCCGATTAGAACCGCTTCCAGATTCCCTCCATGGCTGTGGTAGTCTACCGGTTAGCCCACATGTGCTAAAGTGAGTCTGTTGGGTGTTTTACAGATAGAAGCCCATTTTAACTAAACTCTTGGGGTTCCTGGTTTCCATAATGTATTTCCCAAACACTGGCTGACCTACATCAGAGAAAGACTAGTTTTCCAATGTAGGCAAATAAATAAATTAACACAAATCATTTGCCAAGTAACCTCATTACTTCACCCCACTGTGGACTCTGAGAGGGGCTGGGGTTATGTGTTTTACGGGTGCTGTGGTGTTTTATAATCCTTAGGGAGGTGAGACCTGTGGTGCACATGCGTGTCTGCCATCTGAAATGGGGCAAAGATTTGTCTTTGGCAAATCTCTTTTGTCTTGGTAACAACAGCAGCCTCATAAAAAGTACAGCCTGCAATAGCAACAATGTAGCAATCCTGTTGAGCGTGACATTTTTCTGAGCCTTCTGTCTGTTCCGAATTTTATAATGGGTTAGTAGAAAAGATAAGAAACTTACCTCAAAAATAGCTTTGTTAAGTAACTCCTGAGAGGGCACTTGTGTTTCTGTGGCTTTTAATGCTACATTTTACTTTGTTGGCTGTTGTGTTCTCCAGATTTCTCTGCGGTCACATCAACTCTGTTCTGCAGAACTGCTGTAGAGAAGTGTGCCAAAGGATGATACTCATTGTGGTTCTACCGACTGAGAACCAATTAGTCATGCTAAGGTTGCTTAAACGGTGAAAGATAGGTCTGAGCTGGTGACATGGCTCTACAGGTAACAGTGCTTGCCACTGAGCCTAACGACCTGAGTTCAAGCACCGGAGTGTGCATGGTGGCCTGAGAGAGCCACACCCAACACGTTATCCTCTGACCTCCGTGCACACTGTGGTGCACATGCATACCTCCCTGCACCTCTCTGTCTCTGTCTCTCTCTCATACACACACACACACACACACACACACACACACACACACACACACGTTTAAAATGTTGGTGAGAGATTGTAGTCTTTTATTATTATTATTATTAAAGATTTCTGCCTCCTCTCCCTCCCCCATCAAGTCCCCCTCCCTCATCAGCCCGAAGAGCAAAAGGGGTTGTAAAGCAGGCTGGACCCTGCAATGATAGTAAGATAAGGCACTCTCGAGCTGTCTGCTTGCTCAGATTACTGCGCTCAGGCTTGAGAAAACTCGCAAGTATTCTGCTTCTCTCTGTCATACTGGTCTCCTTAAAGTTAAATGTACAGTGAATTGTAGGGCGCTTCTTGGAAAAACCTATTACTGAGCCAGTACAGAATGTGAATCATTCCTTGCCTGAAATACAGGACCGATGTTTACAGGGCAATTGTCCAAAACAGTCCTGCCTGGCTGGAGAGCGTTTCACTTTTAGCCTTGTGTTGCTTAAAACATAAGCCATTTTGTACACAGGAAACCCACTGAAAGTTAAACATTCTCCTGAGACTCCTATAGAACATTTATGGTTTTATGACTTATTGTTTCTAGCAAAAGGAT